AGATCCAGAACATAGTCTTTGCAATTGCTTTCTATACATCTGAGAGCTGGACAATGACTGAGGTGGACTGACATAGTGACTGCTGCAATGGGCTCTTGTGTGTCAGAAAGTGTGAGGATGGTGCAGGATAGATTAGGGTTCAGATCTTTTGTTCATAGGGTTGACATGAGTCGTGTTCGACTGAGTAGCATCTAACAATGACAACAATATCTTAACATCAAGAAAACAAAAATCTTTACCACCAAAAATCCTCACATGATAGATGGAAAAAGGACTGAAATTGTTAATGACTTCATCTTACTGGGATCCACAGTCAACAACCTTGTTATAAAGGTGCAGGAAATCAAAAGACATAGCATGTTGGGAAAATTTGTTGTCAAGGACTTCTCCAGAGTTCTGAGGAGCAGTAGTACCAATTTAAAGACTAAGGCCAATCCATGGCCTTTTCAATTACTTGTTTTGCATTTGAAAGGTGGAGAGCGAATAAAGAAGACAGAAGACAAATTGATGACTTCAGGTTGTGATGTTGGAGAAGAGTGCTGAATAGCCGATGGACTGCCAAAAGAACAAACAGATATGTCTTGGAGATAGTGCAGTCAGGGTTCTCTCTAGAGCCAAGGAAGATGAAACTTTGTCTCACATACTTTGGGTGTGTTGCTGTGAGAGACCCGTCCTTGGAAAGGACATCATGCTAGGAAAGGTGGAGGGTCAGTGAGAGAGAGGAAGGCCCTCAAAAGATACATTGACAAAGTGGCTGTAGCAATGGCATGAGTATATCTGAGATGGAAAGGAAGGTACAGGATAGGGCGGGGTTCATAGAGTCAGTATGAGTCATGATCAACTTGATGACATCTAACAACAAAAATGAAGTTTCATTCTCTATTTTGTCTGTGAGGACATGTTTGGATTCTCTTTGTACATACCTATCATTAGAATTTTCAGACCACATGGTAAAGTTATTTTTGTTGTTTTGTGAACCATAGAGATGGAACTGACCCATAGCTGACCTTCTGATGTGTTTTCAGAGGCAGTTAGTTGCACGGGAGGAGATTGCCCATCCTTCTCCCACGGAGTAAGCTGGTGGGCCTCAAATCCTGTGCCTTTGGGATTACAGTGCAGCTTCTTGCCACTAGGGCACAGAGCTCAAGGTTATGTTTAAATTTATTAAAAAGCTATGTGTTTTCACAAAGTGGTGGTATTATTTTTCATCCTGGACAATGACTAAGGATGACAGAAGAAGAACTGATGCCCTTGAGTTGTGGTGCTGGAGAAGAGTACTGAACATACCACAGACTACCAAGAGAACAAAAAAGGTCTGTCCTAGAGAGGGTGAAACCAGTTTGCTCCTTGGAGGCAAGGATTTTGAAATTTAATCACATATACTTTGAGAATGTTGCCAGGACGGAGCAGTCCTTGGAGAAGGACATCACTCTTGGAAGGATGGGGAGCCAGCACAGGAGAGGAAGACCCTAGATGAGATGGATTGACATACTAACTGTGGCTATGGGGTCAGGTGTGTCGGTAAGGTTGGCACAAGATAGGGTAGGGCTCAGAGCCATTGTTCATAATGTTGCTATGAATTGACATAACAACCACACAGTAATTCAGGAGACTTGACAATACTGGTAGCATGATAGATTAACAAGCCCATGAATAATTAACTAAGATAAGAGTAATTTCTTACCATCAGGGTTTTGGTAGACTTAAAAAAAATGTAGTAGTTTAATAGAATTAAATTTGTAGATGAGGTCCATCAGGATCCTAGTAACTCGAAGTGTTGTTGATTGCCGTCGAGTCGAGCAAGACTCATAGCAACCCTAAACAAAAGGCCTGAAGCCTTTCAATAACTATCAGCATTTATCAAAGTTCAAAGAGTTTCCAGAGGCATGTTGTATTCACTATTATTCCCATTATTTGGCACCAGAATAGATCCTTAGCTGCTGTGGAAGAGTTGAGTATGAGCTTGGCATCCACATTCAACAGTGACCTATTCATAGTGTATCCCAGGGTGACAGCAAGTCACTCCAAGCTTTAGGAAACTTGGATCAGTATGCTCACTGGAGGAAGAACCCTCATTTTAATAAAAGTAACACTTTCAGTGGAGATAAAGACTCCATTTCAAACATTCAGAAAAGAAAAAGTCATAATAAAAAGGGATGGCTAGCCTCTCTTTCTAGGTTCTCATGAAACAAAAACTCAGGTTGCATTTGAGTAGAACTGTGCTCCATGGAGTTTTCAAAGGGCAGGTTTGGTTTCTTGTTTTGTTTTTGTTTTTAAATATAACAAAAGTCTTTTCTTCTGAAGAGCTTCTGAATGGGCTCAGCTGCTAATCTTTTGGTTAGCAACCAAATACATAAACCATTTAAATTATCAGCAACTAGTTTAGCTTTCCACAAATTTAATAAAAATGCTGCCCTGGATGTGCTCACCAAGTTGTGCCAAGAAATCTGGAG